CGGCAGGCATTATACGAGAGAATTGTGTTGCCGTTATCGGTAGGCCTTATATTTAAGCAAATCGTACAAATGGAAATCTCGTTCTTTTGAAATTTTGTATTAAAGTTTAAGTTTTCCTCTAATAATCCCCTCTCATGTATAGCTGATAAAATCATCCTTTGTCAATCCATTGCTGGATGAATGACTCTCGAAAACTTAGCGATAGACTTTCGTTTTCGTCCATGTTCATTCATCTTTATTTCTCAAACATCCTCAATTCATCCTTTCATCGATTTGAAGGTGTTCCTACTTCCATTTACTTTATCTTGGAGCCCAGCCTAAGGTCTTTCTGGTCCAACGATGGTCCGTTTTTCATAGCTTACTGCACCGTCCCCTTTCTGTAATCTGATCTTGAATGAGTCATGCGCCATTTAACATGCTTAGTCGTACGAACGTATGCTGATGTTTAGGTGGTAGCATATAAGGTGTACATGCTTTATCGATGGTGATGAAAGCAAGGTAATTCGAACGGACGACATGATGCGACATTCATCTCTCATTGCAGATGATCAAATACCATGGAACCTTGCCTGCGTAAATTCCCCTGTCCGCTAGACAGTAGGAGCTAATGGGCAATGCAGTTCCCCGTGAGCTCTTTTGTTGCAAGAGTCGCTCGTTGTTTGACGGGTAATCGTGCTATTTTCAAATGTAAATGTTGTGTGACCGTAATAATATAGCAGTATGATATGGAATCTATATGCTTACCTTTTATGATCTGTTATACGATCTGTAAACATGTAATTATTCATCAGAAGAACTGACATAGACCGAAAGTACCTTTCTACTGCGTTGCCGTGACAGACAGAAGGATTAACCCCATGAAGCGGTCAGTGCCCTTCATTAAATTTTTATGCACCGTCTAAACGAATCAAACTTTCTGAAATATTGTATTTTGTGAATATCATGAAATAACAAGGTATATCATTATTGTGAAACCTGAAATTCCCTCTCATCATTATATAACTATAAGTATACTGTTGTGGTATATGAGCATGGTGTGCCTTATTAGGATGTCCTGGTAATAGTCGGTTTTCCATTTTTTAATTTCCATTTGCATGCGCACGTGTATTTGCGATGTATCGCGATGATTATGTGCTATTATATGAAAATGGTATGTTTACACATGATTTCTGGGTGAACATATTGGTGGTATTTCAACGATCCTTCGATCTGCCTTTCTAGCAGCTGTAGAATGGTATTTTCACAGAATGCCAGTCCCGTTTGCAACGTTTTATGAAATTTATGGGTCATGCTGATTTGGGAAAATTAGCTTTTTTGTGATATGTAATATATTGTTAACTTTAAATGAAGATTTTCCTGTGAATCGTTTTTATTATTTATTATCTTCTGTTGAGATCACATAGTTCCGCATGTCAGGTTTTAGAAAAATTTGCCGGAACATTGTTTCCCACACTTTTTCTTTCTTAATAAGTCCTTTCAACAGTGAAATTTTTAAAATTGGGTTAGTGGTTCTGATTCTGCTGCATCACATCAGTTTTACAATGGTTTAAACATACCTTACCCTTAAAGTGGCTTCCAGTGTTCTGATGTCAAGTTATGGTAACAGCGTTGCAAAATTGGTATTATACCGTTAAAGTTAGAAAATCTGACGTGTCGTCTTGTAAGTTTCGTGCCATGAGTTTTCTATGCTAATTTAGGTAATGGAGTTGTGATGCATCTTCCTGGATTCTTCAGCGAGCTGGAGAAGAACAACATCACGGCCTTGCCTTCATGGGAAAAGCGGATCATCGTGTCAGATCGGGCTCACTTGGGTAAACTTTTGATAGCGTAGTTTGCTTCCTCAGTGTCTTTACTTTCCTTGCAGTGTTCGACTTTCATCAGGAAGCCGACGGTTTGCAGGAATTGAAAATGGCGGATAAGAAGTAAGTACTTTAGCGGTCTTGTCACAGTGCTGATGTTAGC